CGCCACCGCTCCATCGTAGTCCCAGTAATCAAAATAATGATGGATATGATATGAATGATATGGAAGAAAGCGTTAAAGAAGAGAAAGAAGAATAAAAAGAGAGAAGAAAGATAAAGAAGATGAAGAAAAACAAAGAAATAAAAAAGAAGAAAGACAAGAGAAGAAAGAAAAAGAAAAAGAAAACAGAAGAATTAAGAAAAGAAGAAAGGCAAAAGAAAAAAGAAAAAGAAAACAGAAGAAATAAAAAAGAAGAATGACAAGAGAAAGAAAGAAAAAGAATAAAAGGATAATCATCATAATCACAATAACGCTCGTGCAGAAACAAGCTCTCCAACTCGCTTGAGTGAAAGACAGTGATAGCGTTGACAATTGACAGCCAGCAGCCCTCACAATGACGCGAATACATCACTCGCAGATGTAGCGAGTCACCATCACCCGCAGAAGGAGCGAGTCACCATCACCCGCAGAAGGAGCGAGTCACCATCACAAGCAGAAGGAGCGAGTCACATCATCAATCAGCATCACCCGCAGAAGGAGCGAATAACCATCACCCGCAGGAGTGAGTCACCATCACCTGCAGAAGAAGCGAATCACCATCACCTGCAGAAGGAGCGAGTCACCATCACCCGCAGAAGGAGCGAATAACCAACCCAGGAGTGAGTCACCATCACTGCAGAAGAAGTGAACACCATCACCTGCAGAAGGAGCGAGTCACATCACCCCGCAGAGTCACCATCACCCGCAGAGGAGCAGTCACCATCACCGCAGAAGAGCGAGTCACCATCAACCCGCGCAAAGAGCGAGTTCACCATCCCCGCAGAAGGAGTGAGTCACCATCACCCGCAGAAGGAAGCGAGTCACCATCACCCCAGAGAACAGCGCGTCACCATCACCCGAGAAGGAGCGAGTCACCATCACTCGCAAGGAGCGAGTCACCATCACCCGCAGAAGGAGCGATCACATCACCCGCAGAACGGAGCGAGTCACCATCACCTGCATAAGAGCGAGTCACCAATCACCCTGCAGAAGGAGCGAGTCCATCACCCGCAGAAGACCGAGTCACCATCACCTGCAGAAGGAGCGAGTCACCCGCAGAAGGACGAGTCACATCACCCGCGAGAAGGAGCGAGTCACCATCACCCGCAGAAGGAGCGAGTCACCATCACCCGCAGAAGGAGCGAGTCACCATCACCCGCAGAGGGAGCGAGTCACCATCACCAGCAGAAGAAGCGAGTCACCATCACCCGCAGAAGGAGCGAGTCACCATCACGGCAGCAAAGGAGCGAGTCACCATCACCCCGCAGAAGAAGCGAGTGCACCATGCACCGCAGAAGGAGCGAGTCACCATCACCCGCAGAAGGAGCGAGTCACCATCACCCCAGAAGGAGCGAGTCTCATCACCCGCAGAAGAAAGCGAGTCACCATCACCCCAGAAGGAGCGAGTCACATCATCCGCAGAAGAGCGAGTCACCATCACCCGCAGAAAGAGGAGTCACCATCACCCGAGAGGAGCGAGTCATCACCATCACCCGCAGAGGAGCGAGCGAGCGATCACCATCACCCGCAGAAGGAGCGAGTCACCATCACCGCAGAAGAGCGAGTCACCATCACCCACGAGCAGAAGGAGCGAGTCACCATCACCGCAGAAGAGCGAGTCACCATCACCGCAAAGAAGCGAGTCAACCATCACCCGCAGAAGGAGCCGAGTCCACCAATCACCGCAGAAGAGAAGCGAGTCACCATCACCATGCAGAAAGAGCGAGATCACCATCACCCGCAGAAGAAGCGAGGTCACCATACCCGCAGAAGGAGAATCACCATCACCCGCAGAAGGAGCGAGTCACATCACCCGCAGAAGAGCGTCAGAAGGAGCTCATCACCCGCAGAAGGAGCGAGTCACCATCACCCGCAGAAGGAGCGAATCACCATCACCCGCAGAAGGAGCGAGTCACCATCACCCGCAGAAGGAGCGAGTCACCATCACCCGCAGAAGGAGCGAATCACCATCACCCGCAAAGGAGCGAATCACCATCAACCCGCAGAAGGAGCGATCACCCATCACCCCAGAAAGAAATCACCATCACCCGCAGAAGGAGCGAGTCACCATCACCCGCAGAAGGAGCGAATCACCATCACCCGCAGAAGGAGGTCACCGCATCACCATCACGCAGAAGGAGCGAGTCACCATGCAGAAGAAGCGAGTCACCATCACCCGCAGAAGGATCACCATCACCCGCAGAAGGAGCGAAATTACCATCACCCGCAGAAGGAGCGAGCAGAAGGAGTCACCATCACCCGCAGAAGGAGCGAGTCACCATCACCCGCAGAAGGAGCGAATCACCATCACCCGCAGAAGGAGCGAATCACCATCACCCGCAGAAGAAGCAAGTCACCATCACCCGCCGAAGGAACGAGACACCATCACGTCGACAGTGTAGCGTATAGTGACTCATTCCAGCCAGTCCTCCTCGTCGGAGTCCGCTGTCAGATTCTGCATTAGTCTGATTGTGTCGTTGAGATAGTGAGATTTGGTTAGTGGTCTCGCATTGTTAAACATTTCAGCCAACTTATCCATTGAAACCACGAGAAATATAGGCGTTTTTTCCCCTCTCGACAGACGCATTGCAGGCCGGCGGTGCAAGGCTTGCAAGGAAACATAATTGTTTATGTGTGGGCCCTTGTTTATGTCTCGGTCGTCTCCTTTGTTTGTAAAGTTTCGTTTATTTGGATGTATTTTTATTTACTTCATTTACTTTTATTTATTTTATTTATTTTTATTTCTTTTATTTTATTTCGTTTATTTGGATGTTTTTTTTTTATTCTCTTGACTTTTGTTTCATTTACCAGGCTTTTGTCTTGTCTACTTGACTATTTCTTTTTTTATCTATTTGAGTATTGCTTCATCTAAATGACTATTGTTTTATCTGCGGGACTATTATTTCCGTTATTTGATTATTATTTCGTCTGCTTGATTATTCTCTCCTCTATTTGATTATTCTTTCAAATATTTTATCTCTTGACTATTTTTCACTCACTTCATTCTTCTTTTATATATTTGACTATTTTCTTCACTTATTGACTATTCCTTAATCTATTTGACTATCTTTTCACCCACCTGATTCTACTTTCAGATATCTCACTATCTACTGCTTTCACCTGTCCTTACGCTTCGAAGCACACCCGCATGCTCATTGATTCACTCGAGACCGAAACAAGTAGTGCTAACACTATCCATTAATCACTGAATAAAACGGAAAATGGCAGTCATAGTAATCCCGTCGACAATTAACTATTTAAAACTCTCCATTCAGAATTTCAATTTTCGGCAACTAACTCGCCAAAGCCAAGAACTCTACTTATTAAACGTGTGTTGAAGAGCAATTTTGCAAATTAACAACAGTCACAAATTGCTTCTGGTGATTCTGAAACTTGCATGAAAACTGCACGTGTGGGAGGGTGGGGGGGGAAGGGGAGAGGAGAGGGAAGGGAAAGGGAGAAAATGAGAGGAGGAGAGGAGAGGAGAGGAGAGGGAAGAGAGGAGAGGAGAGGGAAGGGTGAAAGGAGATGGAAGAGGAGGAAGAGGGGAGGGATTAAAAACGTGAACGATCCAGAGGCAAGGGAAATGGAGGAGAATGAGAAGAGGGTAAGGAGGAAAGGGAGAAGAGAGGATGAGAATGAGCTAAAAACAGAAAAAAATATGAGGACCTAAGCATACATTAATGCAGAAGGGAAGGAAGGGAATGAAGAGAAAATCATAAAGAAAGACGTGTGTAGGAGAAGGAAAGAAAAATAGAAGAGACTGAAAAGGAATTTTGAATAAGATAAGGATACTGATGATGAATGTAATAATGATAATAATGAGAAGGATAATACCAGCCTTATTAATAGTGATGATTATAACAGATATGATGATAACGGAGATAACAGCAGGCGATAACAACAATAAACAATAGCGATGATAATGATAATGTAACATATATATATTGTGTGTATGTGTGTGTTGTGTGTGTGTGGTGTGTGTGTGTGTGTGTGTGTGTGTGTGTGTGTGTGTGGGTATATATATATATATGTATATATATATATATATATATATATATATATATATTATATATATATATATATAATTATATATGATTACGCATAAATATGTATGTATATAAACTGTTTGCATATTGCGTGTCGGAAGTGAGAGAGCCGAGAGAAAGTGTTACTTCCGAAGCCTTGGTAATCAGAGGACACCCCGCCCCTCTCCCCTCCTCCACCCCGTCCCGGCGTCCCTCCTGCAGGATATTTCTCAGTCTAATTATTTTTCGCTGTTAACACGTTCATACCTTGGGGAGCAGAATTAAAGATATACGGACATGTTTCATTTTGCGGACCAACTAGGGTTAATCTTCTCCTAAAGCTAATGGGGTCTGGGGTCTTATTTGAGGAGGGGAAAGGTAGAGGAGAAGGATGGAGAGGGAGGAGGGAAGGAGGGAGGGAGAAGGGGAGGGAGGGAGGAATACGAAAGTTGGAGTCAAGAGGGAGAGAGAGAGGAAGAGAGAGAGAGAGAGAGAGAGAGAGAAGAGAGAGAGAGAGAGAGAGAGACAGAGAGAGAGAAGAGAGATACAGAGAGAGAGAGAGAGAGAGAGAGAGAGAGACAGTAGGACAGATATAGACAGAGACAGACACAATTGATAGACAGGAGAGAGAGAGAAGTTGGAAAATAACAGATTGACATAATCAGAGACAAACGAACAGACAGGGAAGCATATCGTGGCGGACACCTGGCAGGGAGCGCGAGTGGCCCCTGATCTGCCTCGTGTCTCTCGGTGTATCATAAAGAAAATAGATGGACCCTCCGCAGCTGAGGTCAGGAGGTGATCAATCCCCCATGGAGATGAGAGGATGGGGAAGGGACGGGAGGGGTAGGGGCAGAGGGGGGGGGGGTAGGAAGGAAGGGGGTGGGGGGGGGAGGAGAATGGCTTTATGTTCCCGACTGTTATCTTCTGCGTGATTTCCACCCTTAAGAAAACTGATGAGGCCAGTGTATTACGGGTCATTTTACCTCGCAGTTTGCCCATAACTCGGCCCTTAAGGCTGAATTTTATGTAAGGGCGGAGTGAGAGGGAGAGCGAAGAGAGTCGTGAGTCTCCACTTCAACGCCTCGAACCCCCTGTGGCACCCTCTCGGTAAGCCTTATGCCATTGCTGCATTAGGGCGCTTGTCCCTTGCCCCTCCCCCTCGGTCGGCATTGGAGATACGCCCCTCTGGAACCGACTCAAGGTTAATGGACAATCAGCATAAATTGAAGACTGTCATGCGCATCATGCAACGAAGTACATGACCTTTCAGCGCGTTTCCTCTTGCATCGGTTTGCGTTTATTGCAGACAGGAAGGTCCGTTTGCGTTGAAGGTTGCGTCTTGTGCAATTTCGGAAAGTATTGTTCACGTGAGCTGGCGTGTTGCAAGATTCTGATGATCTGATTTTGCGTGATTAGGTGTTTTAAATTGATGGAATGTAAATAGGGCTACTGCTTGTTTGGTTGTTTGAAGAAGGTGGTGGAGTGTTCATGTTAAGGGGTGTACAGATAGTGCTTACTTGTTTGTTTGTTTGTTTTAAATAAGAAAAGATTAACTTTTTTCTCTCTCTTTCTTTTCTTTTATTTTATTATTATTATTATTTTTTTACCAGAAGTATAATACATATATTAACATGATGCTTCTTCTTTTTTTTTTTTTTCTTTGCTTTTCTCTAAACTTCCGTTTTACATTAATGGAGTTACTCGTCACTGATGACTGTTTTATCTTTTTTTTAAGTTAATGACCATTTCGAAAAAAAAAAGTTTTACAAGAGGATAATCGTCCTGTGAATAAAACCTTTTGTTTAATTCATACTCGACATTACGCAGCCGGGAAGCCATGTTTAGTGCATATTGTCTCCGCCTCGCTTTGTCTCTGTCTTTGCGGTGGTGGTTTTTTCTTTTCCCTTTTTTGCGTTTTATTGTCTTTGGTCCTGCGTCTGTGTGTGTGTGGGCTTGTGTCTTTCCGTCTGTCTGGCTATATGGCTTCCTGTCTGTCTCTCTCTCTCTCTCTCTCTCTCTCTCTCTCTCTCTCTCTCTCTCTCTCTCTCTCTCTCTCTCTCTCTCTCTCTCTCTCTCTCTCTCTCTCTCTCTCTCTCTCTTAATTCTATATATATATATATCATATATATATATATATATATATATATAGTATATATGTGTGTGTGTGTGGTGTGGTGTGTGTGTGTGTGTGTGTGTGTGTGTTGTGTGTGTGTGTGTGTGTGTGTATGTATGTGCACACACACAGATGCAAAACAAAGACAATAAAGCACAAATAAGGAAAAGTGTGTGTATGTGTGTGTGGTGTGTGTGGTGTGTGTGTGTGTGTGTGTGTGTGTGTGTGTGTGTTGTGTGTGTTGTGTTCGATCTGTTCACCTACCCACCACCCTATCCATCCCAACCATCCCCCCATTGTCTCCGCCGGTAGAAAGGGGGGGGGGGGGAGGGCTATAACCCCCCCCCCCTGCTATTAGACCAGACTCGAAATGAGGGTGACAAACGAGGATTCCTAATCTCCGGCCGACTGGAACGCTGATCGTCCGTGGATTAGCCAATCAGTGAGTCCCGCGGAAAACATATAGGCCGTGTGGGTTGGAATTGTTCATCCCATTCATCATTCATCGATGGTTCTGGTGCGTGTTGGAGGGTACGTTTTATTTCATTTATTTGTTTTATTTCATTATTTTTTTATTTTATTTTTTATTCTTTTATTTATTTTTATTCTTTTATTATTTATTCTTATTATTATTCTTTTATTCTTTTATTATTTATTTTTATTTTTTTATTATTTATTTTTATTCTTTTATTATTTAATTTTATTCTTTTATTATTTATTTTTTATCATCCTGGTATTTCTTATTACTTTTATTTTCTTATTTGTTTATTCTCTTTATTATTCCATATTTTTGTAGTTTTTCTGTGTATGTTAATCTCTTTTTTTCCCTTTTTATATATATTAATCTTTTTTTACTTCTTTTTTTAGGCTAATCACTTTTATTTTCCTTTTTTGACCTTTTGGTGCATATGAACCCCTTTTTCCCTTTATTTCTTATCATTTTTTGTCCATATTAATTACGTCTGTTTTCCCTCCAGCTGTACGTAATATAAATCAGTCATTAGAGAGGTGTTTTATTGGCTGGGTATTGATTCAATTACTTATTACATATTCGGGTGCAATTACTTGTTACTCCCCTGTTATCTATTAGGGGCAATTTCCAGGCAATTACTCTCAATAACTTATTCATGCTCGTTTGCTTATATCTGTTATTAATTAGATATTTCCCGTTTTGCGTTTTGGATTCAGTATTTAGGGGGCTTTTTTTTGGTTTCTATTTTTGTGTTTGTTTGTTTGTTTGTTTTTTCTGTGTATTGTTCTAGTTTTTTTTCTCTCTCTCCTCTTCTCTTCCTTTCTCTTCTTCTTTTCTCTCTTTCTCTC